AACCGGGAATCGAACCTGGGACCTCTGCGTGGCAGTCCAGTATGGTGACCGTTCGACCACGGGGGTAGTTAACGTAACTTTTCAACTTATGTCCAGGGTGACAGGCGCAGTGGCAGTACCCCTCAGATCTTTGCGATTCAAAGTTCTGAGTGGCATTGCAACTGTTGTGGAAGCGTGACGCTTACCACCAGGTGCACAACTAGTTTGCCCTGTTACATTGGTATCATAAAAAAATGGCAGGTAGAAGAAACTAGTAAAAAATTAAAATTTCGCGGAACTTTGTGGTGTGTTTTATCGAGCCGAGTTTAGTCAAACGTGTTTCGGGCCCCATAGGTCAGTACCGGTATCTTCTGTTTTCATTATCAATTTAAAAAATCAAGTTAAAACGTCTATTTTGGGTCTCACCTTACTTTAATCTTTTTTTGTTTTATGATATTAAGTGACGTGACGAACAAGTCGTGCGCCTGATGGTAAGCGTCACGCCTGTCCATAACAGTTGCAGTGCCGCTCAAATGGCACTGCCACTGCACCCGCCATCATGTGAGACATAAGTTAATTCTAACCGTCAGTCGTACGTCTTCGTTTGAAAATGAATATCTCATCGATAGATGGAGATTAACTTGAGCTACACCTCAAGGTATGAAGCATTAACCCGAAAATATTACTACAGTTAGTCATAAGCAGACAATATAATAGGGACTGAGCAGAGCGATAATTTTTTATGTACTTTTTGCCTTCCCAAGCTCTTATCGCAACGGGATACAGAGGCTATTCAAACTCTGACAGCACTAACGCCGGGTACTCCCTAGAGAGCTGTAACTGTAACACAATAATAAGTCATCTATTCAGATAGCTATTACAATCCATTGGTTAGTATTAGTAGTAGAAATAGTAATAAATTTAAAACAAATTAAAATTGGAATAAAAATTTAAAAATTAAATTAAATATAAAATTAAACATTTTCGATAAAAATGAAAATTTAAATATTAATTAAAATGAGAATTTATGAATACTAGGTAACATTTAAATTGAAACATATTTTTCACGTTAGTTGAAAGATGAACCATGGTACAATGGTTCTCAGTCCAGTAGATACACTCACACGTTGGCATTATTGGTAACGAAAGGTAGATTCACATGCTAAGCGAGCTTATTGTACTGGCGATAGGATAATAATATGTATTTGGTCCTATTACACAGATTGTTCGTATAAAGTTAAAAGTATTGCCACCTGCTGTGGATTAAATATTTTGATGAGAGATCCAAAGAAAAAGGTATCTGGTTCAAAACAATTCAACCTGAGCCACTGGAAATTCCGTGGATTGATAACTGTATGCTGAATAGACTGAGAGTCGTATTCTAGAACTCTACGCATTGCTCAAGTCAGGACTTGTATGATTTCAAACACTGGAAATACGACCCTAATTGCAAGGACTTGAGTATGGTTTTCAGTGCTCACTGCAATACTCAAGTCCTGCCAAGACTATTGAGTAGAGTTCTGGAATACGACCCTCAGTGTCGTGACGGCTCTGAGGTTGCGCTCGGAGCGCAGTTGTCACAGTAATGGTTTGGCAGAATAGTTTTCAAACAAATTAAATGACTTTAAGACTTTCGTGGTTATTCACTGAATGATTATCACTAATATCAGGTTTCTTACCACTTAAGAAACCTGCTATTAGTGATAATCATTTAAATTAAATGACATTTTTCGTCTCTTGTTCTGGTTATACGCTTGATGTAAATACTTGATAATATTGACTTGATAAGTATAAATTTTAAGGTTATCGGGGGAAATTCGAGTGATGTCGTTGTCAGAATTGTAAATTTAAAATTTTTATCGGGAGTGGAAATTGTATACGTACCTATTGTTCTCGAGATACAGAAATTAAAAAGTAAACTAATTTAAAGGTCTACAATCTGGTTGTTTCTTATTCGTTGACATAAGTATAATTCCGCTGTAATTGTAGCTCAAATATATTAGCAATAACCACGGAAGAATGGAAGTGCCTTAAACGTCGATTACTATCAGAACCGATTTCGCCAAAACTCACACGTTCCTTATTTGAAACACAACAAAATCTTGACATTGATTGGTTGTAGTTTCAAATTTAAAAAGAAATAAATTCTGGATTGTTAATATAATTTAAACTTTACACTTTGGCATGTCGTTGAAAGGTTAACACCATCAATCATTGTAAGTCAATCCCATCAATACCTATTATTACAAGTTACGATGACGTTTTGATATTATATTGAAATTTCAATCAATGTGCTGCCATCTAGCGGTTTATTGTTGAACGACGACGAGTTGGAGTATTAATATAGTTCTCTAAACAAGAAGCGACCATAATGCAGAGGCATAAGGGCCGTTTCCTCGTGCTCCTACCAGTAAGACTAACCTTTCCTTGTGCTCCTATCGTGACGCATCTATACAATAAATTTTCTAGGATCATCCCTGTGACACTTCATAAAATTCTACATAATATAACCTTGTAACTGTGAGTTCAAAAAAAGGAGGTACGCAATTCGACTGCATGTTTTTTTTTTTTGCATGTATGTTACGCTTAGGGGATGGAATAGAATGTGATGCGATAACTCCGGTATTTGTGAACCGATTTTAATGATTCTTTTTTTGTTGGAAAGAGGGTACCTCCAGTGGTCCCATTTAATTTTGAAGAAAATCATCCACCTCTAAGGGTGGCTGTTCACGCATGAAGATTCATTTTTATGAATAGCGCCTAAATTTTATTATAAGGAGCAATTATTTTAATGGTTGATTTTGCTATTCTCCAATTCAAGGCGTTTTTCTCTCTCAATGTAACTTTGAGTAGTGAGAACCGATTTTTATTATCTCCTGTGTCAAGTCCCGTATAGTGGCGAACTAGGGGATGAATCCGGGTTTGCGCACTTTCCGGTAACCGATTTCAATAAAACTTGGTAATTATATGTAATTCCACGTACGTTTGAGGTCGGTTTTTTTAGTACTCTGTACTGAGATTATTATATAAACTATTTTTATAAGTTTTCCCTAGTGCGGGACTAGGAGTGTGTTGCGTTATAATCAACATACTCTCTGACGTAGTGTTCACAACTTCCGAATACGCGGGAAATCTCCCATCTTGCCGTTCCGCGCATACTAGCGCCGTCTATACAGGGTTATTTTAAAATGCTAACAACCTCGCAGGTGTGTATTACTAACATCATGAACAACAACTTGTGTTCCATGACTTTTGAAAATTCATTATATTTTACTTTCATGCAAAAATAAAAATATTTAAATAAATTAAACGTTACAACTCTGTGACCGCAAAGCACGCAACAATCACACAGAGACAGTTTCATTCAACCGCGCTATGAGTACACTTATAAGCTAGAGGCGCGTGTGTGCGTGAGCTCTGGCGGCTTCGTCGCGTACGCGCGTACGAAGAGAAACCTGTTCAAACCGGGTCGAATATCGAGCGCCTTTTTAAAATAAGGCCCTACTCATGATACCAATTACATTACACAAACAACAAATTTCGTAAATTAATATTTTAAGTTAGAATACCAGAAAAACTTTACACACTTACGACATGATAGTCGATTACTGCAAATAATACTATATTTATATAACATAAATAAATAAACTCCATTAAATATTCAAGGAAGTACCTAGGTAATTGAATTAATTTTATTACCTAGGTATAAAACGCTATCGTCCTAAAAACAAATAGGTGCGTGCTACGGGTCGACGACTTTCAATGTTGCACTGAACACGTGCATTTGTTTGCCGTTTGATCACTCAAATCATGTCGCATGTCACTCGTATTCCCGCGAATTTCGAACCAAAAACTTCCAGAATACACTGTAACTACTACACCACAGAGACAGTCCCTATGGAAATAGAACTCTCGACCCCCAGACTGAGAGATAAACACTCTAAACACTACACCATTGTGGTAGGTTGCCAACTACGCGAACCAAACCCACGACCATCGGAACAAGAGCCTAACATTGTAATCGCTACACCATACAACTTACGGGAATAGAATCCACGACCACCGAAAAAAAAGCCTAACATTCTAATCACTACACCATAGAGGCAGTCATTAATGGTAATAGAATCCACGACCTCTAGATTGAGAGATAAACACACTAACCACATTGTAATCGCTACACCATGGAGGTAGTCAACTATGGGAGTCGAACTCACGACCTCTAGACTGAGAGATAAACACTAACAGCTACCTCCACGAGGCAGGCTGTCAATTACGGCAATCAAACCCACAACCACCGAAACAACAGCCTAACACTCCTACTACACCAAGTAGGCTATCAACTGTGGGAGTCGAACCCCACGATCTCCGGAAAACCTAACACTGTAACCTGTTTTCTAAAGTCCTGTGTCTACAAACACCCATTACATTATTTACAGTCTGTTTTTTTTTTTGAAGATGGAGCAAAATTACATTTGCAGTGTTAGCAGTTTTCGTAAAATAGTCATATAGTTGTTGTCGACAGTTTTGTCAATAAATAGCGAAAGTAGGTAAACTTTTGCCAAAAATGTCTGAATTGTGTTATAATGATCGATTGCGTTATTGTATTCTTTATTCTTATTTTGACGGTTGATATATTAGTAGCAAAATCAATTTTTAGTCATACACATGTTAATAACGACGACAGTCGGGTGTGATTATGTATATTACATTGAAAGAAAAACTTTAAAATGTCTCCTATGTTTATTTTTTATACACATACTGCTAAATTTAGTGTATGCATGTATGATTTTTCAAAAATTAACAAATCAAACGAACATGTGGCCAGCAGTTGGACGAATAATTGGCCGATGATGATTTAAATGAAACAATTCAACAAACAATATAATATTTTATCAACTGCAATCACTAGCTACTTGCAAGCGGGCAACACACACAATGAACTGTCAATTTACTCCATCTTCAAAAAAGACAAAAGTATATTTTTAGTTACCGCACCACGACGCGTTCGGTGTGTACGACGTTACTAATGTTAAGTAAAGAATACATTCACGATAGTAACTATTTTATTAACAAAAATTATGATTTTTAACTAATTAACATCGACACGTGTGTTCAATTTTGTCTAGTACCACCACGATTTGGCAGGTACTCTGTCTTCTTTGATGCCCATCTCTTCCATTATGTCCATTTCGAATGTACGTAATTTTGGTACAAATGTGATCTGAAAATAAACAATAATAGTTTTTAAATGCATGTGTCCATTAATATTTTGCTTTGTTTCTTAAATACTATAAATAAACAACTTTAAAATCTTCTAACACAAAAATATTACTCTGCCCTCGTCATCTTAACCATGGCCTAATAAGTAAAGAGTATTGCTAATTTCCATACTACAGATAGTAGCTCTGAAAAATGTACAAATTCCTATATCTAGATGGCGCCGATCAATAGCCTGAATCAAAATATGAATAATTCCGTTAATATAAAATATTTTGTAATATTATTCAAATATTGATCATGACCATTGGTGGGATAACGATGTTCTAAGTATATAAATACATGTATAGATTATATCGAGAGCGTCATCTGTACCGCGTCGCGCAAGCTTGGCATCCTGAACAAGGTGCACCGATTTTTTACTCCAGAGCTGCGATACCTGTTGTATAAAGCTCAGGTCCGAAGCAGCATGGAGTACTGTTCGCACCTTTGGGACAGCTCTGCCAAGTACTTGCTCGATGCCCTAGATGGACTGCAGCGCTACGCCTTCCGTGTTGTCAACGATCCTCTTGTAACTGAGCATGCGGAGTCGTTACAGCTTCGCAGAGATATAGCGTCTCTTAGCGTATTCTATCGCCTGCACCACGGTGAGTGCTCTGAAGAGTTATTCAACCTTATCCCTTCCTCTCCTTTCCATCAACGGACCACCCGTGCCGTGCGTTGCCACAGTTGGACGGTCAGTTCAATACCGTCCCGCACTAAAAAGTTTGGCAATTCGTTTTTATGCCGAACCATCAAATTGTGGAATCAACATGTATTCCCTCCCCTCTATAACATCGGGTCCTTCAAACGTAGTGTGAAGAAGCATTTGGCCAGTCCGGCAAAATGATAATGACGGAGTGAAGATATTTGTGTTTTCCATCCGTTACTCTCATCTCTGGACTGTATTCGCACTTTCCATCAGGCGCGGTGCAGCCATTTTGCCGAGTCGCAATAAAAAAAAAAAAGCTATCAGGAGCGACATACAGCTGTTAAAAACCACCAAATATTAATTAATTACTGTTTCGACTTCCGGATTTGAAAAAATGGTTTTACTGCAACGTAGGACAAAAGTACTGACCTAAGTAGTCGAAGTAGGATTTTAATTTCAATGTTGCTATGTAAAAAATGCAGTAGATAATTGACCTTTTACTAAAACGTAGAATAAAAAGGTAAGGAGAATGGTCACTCTCAGCCCCTCACTAGCTTTAGATACCGCAAATTGACCGATCGGCGACATTTGCTTGTAGAACTTAAGAAAAGAATTAATTTAAAATTTTATTTACGAGGGGAATTTTAGGACATTTTAGTTTGCATGAGAATCGTTGTGATTGCGTATTTCAATCACACAGTATAACAGATGTTCATAAATTCGAACCACTAGCAGAAATGTCGTATTTTAAAAGGAAAATTTTCACTCTAGATTTGTTTTAATACTTTTTACAAAAAAAAAACTACTGGACTCTTAAGACGAAAAAGTGCCATTTTTGACAGTTTTACCCATGTACGGCTATTTATCTTTATAAACATAATAAAGAGAGGAGTTTCTTCCATCCGAAAATCCGAAATTCGAAAAACGGAATTAGGACTATTCATGACTTAAAATTGTTTCCTGAACTTTGACAAACATGCGTGTCAATAGATGGCATAGTGTGTTACAAACTAATTTATAAATTAACGCTTTCTAGATGGCGCTAGTTCCCTGAACGTTATAACTTGGACCTTTTCACGGCCAGAGTGAATAGGCATTATCTAGGTGTGCATGCTCCATCGTCGACCTCATCGTCCTTTCCATCAGGTGAGATGGAGGTCAATGCACACTTACATTAGAATAAAAAAAAAGGAATTAAGAACCTCGACTCCGAAAGCCTTCAGTCTTCGACTTCGGGCTTCAAATAAGGGTCTCGTCTGTATTCTTAATTTACCGCCCTTAATGCACAATATACTATAATAGTAATCGAAGTGAAGTTTTACAATAAGGAAACGAAGGTAATCTGTGATGTACTGCACATCTTCTCGTTTCAAATTTTTTTTTTTCACTACCACGTGACGACGGATACAACAAGCGTAAGAATAGTGAAGGAAAAGAGAAATCGAGATCGATTAAAACATTCAATAATAAGGGGCCAGGCACCAGAAAAGACCTTGATAAAAATGAGGTTAGCATCGTCACAGTATATTAAAAAGAACGGACAGGCTATGCACATCACGGGGAAGGTCAATTCTCTACTAATAGCCTCGTCTCTTAGCCTGAGTTCAAATAAATGTCAAATGAAAATCCTAGGAAACGGTCTATTTAAAGTTTGTAGTAATTTATCGAATTCTTAGAGTTAAGCAATTGCTACACTTCAGAAATAAAAGTATTATGACTCAGACATGGCTATAGGACCTGTAAGGAACTCGAAATGTTGGTTGTTGGTTGGTGTTTCTAGTATGAAGAAAAATTATTTAAATTTCTAAGTATTATAAATATATAACAGATTCTGCTGTTAGGTTGTGTGTTAGCTACAAGGTGTTCTGTGAATTAGTGCGTTGTTTGGCTAATTTCTTTATTTCATATCCCCTGTTGACTTATTTTATGTGTATATTTAAGTAGTTTATGAGTGTTGTTAATTGTATTAGTAAGTAAAAGCTTTGTAACTTTGTTGTAAATGCCTGATCCTCCCGATCTGGGGGGAGGCGATGTTGAGCCACGTGCTCAGTCATCTCCTCGCCTGTTTTCGCAATCTCAGACTGAGGTAATGGAAGTAGATAAGATCATCCAAAGTAGGAAACGAGCCCCCACTGACATGGAATCATCTCAACCTCCCAAAAAAACCATTACCTCACAGTCTGTTCCGTCTACCCAATTTACATTCACCAACCCAGAATTCTTAAACAACAAAAACAAATACAGGGCACAAGATATCGCCCCATTCATTGTACATGTGAGCAAAACAGTATCGGACCCCTCTTCCGGCACCGCATTACGCCCCATTAAATTTGGCCATTTTTTGTTTAGGAACAATGTTAAAAATATTGTCAGAAATGGTACCCAAACGTGTTGGCAGAAATAGAATATCTCTTGAATTCAAAACGTTCAGTGATGCTATTGCTTTCCTTAACTACCCAGCTCTTTCTCCAGCCAAATATGAAGCGATTATCCCAAGTTACAGCATAATTAGACTGGGTATTGTCCGACAAGTTCCAGTTAAATGGACACTGGAGGAATTAGTTGAAGCAGTGGAAGTTCCAACTGGTTATGGCTGTATTATCTAAGGCACGGAGACTTAATAGGAAAACCCACGACAGTAATGGGTCACCTGTATGGGTTTCCACCCAGACAGTAGTACTAACCTTCTCAGGTCAAAAACTTCCCTCCCGTGTGTACAGATATTTCACCTCCATCCCAGTGGAAAAATATGTCCTACCCACAATTCAGTGCAATAAGTGCTGCCGGTTTGGACACATCCAAACTACTGCAGATCGGAGGCCCGCTGCTTTATTTGTGCACAAATTCAGGAAGGCCTACATTGCACCAAGGAAACACCAACCTGTTTACACTGCTCTGGACGTCATAAAGCCACTGGATCCCTCTTGCCCTTAGCAATCAAGGCAGAAACAAATAAATCTGCCAGATTCACCCAAGTGTGAAGATCTTTTGCTGACACAGCGAGGTTTGATTTAAATGAATATCAGCCTACACCCACCTCTCAGTATACTTCTCCGTCCAATCCATCTCCCCAACACACTTCCTACCGCAAAACAGTAGCTATTCCCAGGCACCAACCCCTCCCAGCTTCTAGTCCAGGGTATACTCAACAAGTTCATAGAGACGTAGTTACGTCTCCTAGTTCTCAACTAGGAAATGGATGTACACTCCCAAATAACTCCTCAATGCTTAACGATAATTTAATTTCTCTTCTCCTCTCGACCATCATTAATCTCTCAGGGCGTTTTAGTGACGTCCACCTACCGAACAACCTCAAAGATCAACTGTCTCAGCTCATTCACCTCACCTGCTCCAATGGCTCCCATTCTCCAGTGGAACTGTCGCAGTAGCAGGAATAAAGAAAACGAAATTAAATTCTACTTAATAAATACTCTCCTGACGTTTTCGCAGTCCAGGAGATGCGACGTAAACCAGGCGATCGAGTACGGTTTCCAGGTTTTTCGTGTCTCCGCGATGACAGGACAGACGGGCAAGGAGGCTCGGCACTCCTTAATGCAGTTGCTGCCAAATTGCTAAAGGTAACGTTTCTGTCGGTTTACCCATATTATTATTAACTACGAGAACCAGTCTATCCCGTTAAAAAATCAAGCCAGGTTTCTTGGAGTTGTGGTGGAGTCAAAAATGACAGGCGCCCATCACATCTCACATGTTGTTACAAAAATGTGAGAAAAATATTAATATCCTTCGGTCATTGTCTGGAACATGGTGGGGTGCTCTCCCTCAATCTCAGAAGCATTTGTACAATGCTCTGATTGGAGCTCATATAGATTATGGTTCATTTTTACTAGAACCATGCCATAAATCCTATTTATAAGATCTAGACAAAGTACAATATAAATCTCTTCGAATTATAACAGGGGCTATGAAATCTTCTCCCACCAATGCACTACAGGTGGAATGTGCGGAACCCCCCCTTATCTATCAGGAGACAATATTTAGCGGACAGATTCCTTTTTAAAATTATTCAAAATTCCTCCCATCCTCTATAAATTACATCAACTATCAGAATTTTTATCCTCTGATAAGTACTGGAGACATAAATCTGCACCTTGTCTGTTTCTTAGTCTTATTAAATTAATCAGGCTCCCCTGTCCAGTATATCAGTGTACCCTAAACCCTCTCTTCGATATACCCCATCTCTTATATATACTACTGAATTTAGGCATTGACAAAAATTCTTCTAACTCTGATGCTTAATTACAAAATACATCAATAATAATTGGAGCGATTGGCTTGTGATGTACACAGATGCTTCTAAAATGTCAGATGAAGGATGTGTTGTGTTGTGTGCTGCTGTCTGGATACCCAAATTTAAAATTATCCTTCATTTTAATTGTACTCCCCTTTCTTCTGTTTATACTGGGGAAACCACTGCTATCTTAGAAGCTCTTCTCTATATTGAGTCTCATAAGCTAGATAAAACTGTCATATTAACAAACTCGAAGAGTTGTCTCCTGGCAATTCTGTCCAATCCTTTCCGTAACAAATCCAAATTTCCCTGTGTTTTAAAAATTAGAAATGTGCTATGCAGTTGCTTCAGTCAAGGAATTAGAGTCTCTTTGGCCTGGATCCCGGGTTATTCTGGTATAGTAGGTAACGAGACCGTTGATCTGATGGCAAAAGATGCCACTGAAATTGGATGTCCTACTTACTCTCAAGTATTCTCTCATGACTTGCCCTTGCAACACAAAAGATGATGTCCACGTGAGAAGTCGAAAGAGAGTAGCAAATTGAAAGGAAAGCATTATGCGAACATTCAAAATGTCATCCCGAGTAAACCTTGGTTCTTTACATTTAACGAAGCATCCAAATCTTGCACCTCCACCATATGTAGATTTAGGCTCGGCCACTCGAGCGCCCCAGTTCACTTGGCTAAAATTAGGGTTCGCTTTGCGAATGCGGGCTGGACGAAGGAACTCCGGATCACATTTTCTTCAATTGAAACAAGTACCCAGTGACCTTGTACGATGTCCTCCCCTCATTCATTCTCAAACCCAAAAATTTTAATACGATTTTAAGTCTTGTGGATACGTCTTGCCTTAATGTCCTTTGTGATTATATAACCAGCACTAACATAAAATTATAATTTGTTCGTCCTGCCTAACATACTTACCTACTAACATTTATCTATATATATTGTTCTCCGTCCCTTTCAGGTAATTCAACAGCTCTGCAACTTTAAAACCTAATAAGAAAGTATTTTTTATATCACATTGTGCTCTCACAATACTCATTGAATAGCAGAGTCTACAGAAATCCTTAAAATTACTAAGCGGAAAACTCGATACTGGCGAAATCTAAAGGATAGCGCCATTAAGCAAAAAGAAGAAGAGGAAGAAGAAATATATAACATCAAATTGTATACTACCTTAGCAATAGTAGCTGCAGCGGTGTCCTTCTCCACATTGTCTAAGTACAGCTCTTTGCTCTTGTAGTCAATGGTCTCCTCGTTTGCTTTGGGAATTGGGATTATACGGCTGCTGGTCAAAGACACTCGCACCTGGAATAATTGTGAATAAATGCCTGTAATGACGTCGGTGTACGTTTTCAGCCAATTTTGGGTGAACTCTTGGTATATAATCGTTTATCATCATCATGAACCCACATACATCCCAGAGCTGGTAATGTCTCCTTTAAGTAGAAGATTTAGACAATAGTGTATGGGAACCCCACAAGTCTTTGAAGATTTATGCCAACCTTCTGCAACATGTTCAAATAACTAAAAAGACTAAGAGAGTCTAGAGAGAGACTAGACTAAAGAGCAAATTATCTGTTTGTACTGCAGGATATAAGTGGCAAGAGGTAAGGAAGACGACATATTTGGATGATGACGCAAAAACACTGTTGGCAGTTTTAAGCTTAGTCTTTTTACCAATTATAATTATACTTGTCACAACCCAATAGGCCCATTTTGACACCTGTCATCGCAACGCACCTAGGGATGTGAACCAAACAAATCGCTAAACAGATTACCCGATTGTCACCAGAAATCGATTCAAAATGTTACAAGTTTGTGATCATTTAGATTACATTTAGATTCATTGGTTTTAAGATTTAGATCGAGCAATTTACATTTCTTTAAACACTATAAGTAGGTAAGTGTAAAAAAAACGTTCGTTTCTGTGAATTCACTAGGTAAAATTCAGCAATCATTGTCTTTTTTTTTAATGCATTAACTTTTTAATCATTTGTTTGTTGTTTCATTGACTTCATTCCAAGTTACATTCTAGCGTCTCTCTTAGGTGTCAAGATGAGCCTATTACTTTGTGACAACTATGTCAGTATATATATTCTCAATTACCTTCATTCCCTCCTCTGTGTAGCGCCACTCAATCTCAGTGGGCTTCAAGCTCTCAGGGTCTACAAGCTTCACATCTGTTGTCACCAGAAGTGGGGCCTCTGACTGGACTGTTACACCAGGAAAGCTTTTGTCTTTACCTACCTGAAAATATTTTTATAACATCAAAGTCATTTAAATCAATGTTGTTTAAAATAGAGATAGATATTTCTTATCATCATCTACCCATTTATATGTCTCACTGCTGGGCACGGGTCTCCTCTCAGGCGAGGGTTTAGGCCATAGTCCGCCATGCTGTCCCAATGCGGGTTGGGGACTTCACACGTCTTCCGAGGGTTGTGAACTTTCGACGTGTAGGTTTCTTCACAATGTTTTCCTTCACCGAACAGCTCATGGTTTTTCAAATTTTAAATAGAATTTGACTAATAATAATAATTTTACTAATAAATTTCATATAGAAGAACTCAGAGGTGTGAGGCCTGACTCAAACTAACGGCGTCTGCTTGAGAGGCGGTAGGTCACACAATTAGGTTACCACGGCTTAAATCTCTGTAGGCTCTAAATATCTGTAAAATAAGCTGTACTACATTAATTTCGTTCTGTAAACATGACAAATTTAAAAAATTCAATATTTATTTCTTGTCACAATTTTTCTATTTTTTTAGAATATTAAGTGACAGGATGAACAAGTTGTGCGTTTGATGGTAATCTACATGCCTGTCTATTACAGTTGCAGTGCCACTCAGAGCTTTAAATCGCAAAGATCTGAGGGGCATTTCCACCGCGCCAGTCACCCTGAGACATAATTTGACAAGGCCCATGTGCCTTTATGAATATTTTATGCAATAAGATATAAATATAGATTTTAAGACTTTCGTGGTTATTCACTAAATGATTATCACTAGTAACAGGTTTCTTACCACGGTATAACTTCTTTTTATTTTCCCGATATTTCGGAACGGTTGCACGTTCCATGGTCACGGGTCAAGATATAAATATGAAGAAATTTTCTATATCATCTTTAAATTATATCAATATTTGACTCATCCGAAGAACAGAGTCCGATGTGATTATATAGCGAAAAGAGAATAAGTACATTACGAGAATAATTTCGTTATTCAAACTAAGGCCTATGTAAAGATGTTTTGAGAATTCATATATCTTATTTCGTTTCGGAAATATAAAACCAAACAACGGTTGAACAGACATTCACAGCGAAGAAGAACAAACGAAATGTACCATGTTCTGAGAACGAGTAGTCTTGCACATAGACCTTTGTTCTACGGATGAGTCAATATTATACTTAAATATAGAGTAAAAACAAGTAGTCATAATGTGATAAACAATTAGGATTACATTACTAGGATTACATTTTGACTACCTGTTTCAGCTTTTTGTCTCTCCCATGACAAATAATGAATTTTTAAATGGGAGCAGTGGTATTTACCAGCACTGACACAGTTGGCCAGGATCTGGGGCTCATATTCAAGAGCCAGCAAACAATATGTGCCACATTGAGCAGAGGGATTATTATTATTATTATAAATATATTACAGTACCGTCATGTTATTATTATTAGGTGCCAAGTTGTTGGATACTAACAATTCTAAGATGTGTGTTGAGTCCTTCAACAATGACCCAGTTGCGTTCCTGTATCACCTGACTGATGATTCCTTGCTTCCCTTTGTCCTTGCCCACCATTATTTCTACTCTGTCTCCTCTGGAAAAACAAAATAAATCAATGTTATTTTGATGAGTGAAGTTTGCATTTTTTTTGTTTTGTTTTGTTTTTTTTGTTTTTTGTTTTTGTTTGTTTGCAAGTTTAGCTTTAATTACCTCTGCTGTACACGCACTTCATTGTTAAGGTACAGGTAATGGAATTATTTAAGTAATGTGATTTTTTTTCCTTTCTTTTTGCCAACATTTTTTGATATATTTTAGCATGCATATAAGTATTGTAATTAATTTTTATTTCCATTTAGCATTTTATTTCTTTTAATGGTGTAACAGGGGAATAATTATAACGGACGTCCTGACCCTTATTACCCAACCCAGAAATCAGCCTAACCTTTAATGTAAAAGTCATATCCTTAATTTTCCATTTCAGGTTTCCGCGATTACTAAATAGGAAATGAAAGTATTTTTTCTGGATTTAACATTTTAATATTAGACATAACTATCTAATGATGACTTCCATGGTCAACAATCTGCTCTGGATGAGAAGGTCCTAAGTTAGAGTCCTAATTGGACCGATTTGGGAAATGAATACTTCTAAATTGGTTCTGGTCTGGGTGTTTTACGTAATGCCCTGGAGTAAATTCCTTTGCTCTGGTGCTCGTAGTACAGAAAATATCAGAATTTAAAACCACACTGTCTGGCATATTGTTATTATTATTACTAACACCTCACATGGTCATGGCTAATCTCAGTTAGCCGTGATCATGCGACTTATATAGGCCGAAATGTTGGTTTGTTTAAATACTGTTTTATTTTTGTGTTTTTAGGTCGGAAAAAATAGTTTCTTTTCCATTGTTCAAAAATTATTATGGAATACGAGAATTGAAAATTTTCAAATGAATTTCAAGAAAGTCTGCCTGATGCACATAATGAGGCAGGTTTTCTCGTTATTATTATTATTATTAAGGTGGTTTCATTTGAGGCCTATGCAGCGACTTATCACTGTGACCATTAACTTATCTATTGTGATCTCCACTAATTATAGTTCAGAGCCAAGGCTAATAGCATTAAAGAACCTAAGGATTTTCCTGGCTCCCAGTAAGGAACTTCGTACGCCCATTAGAGGGCAGCACTGGTTGAGGAGATACACAGGAGTTTCATGCGCCTTGGTGCTGAATACACATACTCTGTTTTGTCTCTGCCCAATATTTGACATGCCTGTGCTTGTTCAAGCCACAATGCCCAGTTAAGGTTTTGGTCAGCAGTCTGATGCTGGTATATTGATGTAAACTTTACTGTAGAAGTTATGTTCTAGCCTTATTAATTTAGTTGCATCTGTAGTTTTCAAGTAGTCAATAAAATGTCTTACTTAAAAAAGGTCCAGTCCTTAATAGGTTCAATGAAGACCTTCTTTCTATGTGTACCACGATCATTTTGCAGCCGGAATTGTCCGGTCCACGGCCGGTTTGTCGTGAAGCGGAACTTTTTACGGGCCACTTGAGCGTTCTTTAAAAACTGTGGATAGCCGCTCGGAGTCTTCCAGTAGACCTAGAAACATTCACCCAGGAGTAAGGGGTATTATTTATAGGTTATATTTATTTAAACCCGGGGAAACTCAATTAATTGTAAATATCCGACCTGCTCGTAACTTCTTTTCACGTATGATTCGGGCAAGTTAGAATATTTAATAGTAAGGTCGCCAACTTTTTTCGATAAATAACTGAAAATTCGCATTTTTTTTCGTTTCGCAACTTCCTAACCTAACCTATTTGACAATTTTGACAACTTGATTTGTATTTACGTTCCAATTATCGCAAAAGTTGTTCGTTTTCATGATCATAAATAACGTAAAAATACATTAATTAAAAAGTTTATAAGACTGATTAAGTGATAGAATAATTGACTTATAATTGTAAGTCAATGGATAGAATATATAAATTACATAATTAGTAAAATCATGTCATGTAAAACCTTCCTTTAATGTAATAGAGAAAATAGTTGTTTTTTTAATAAATAGCACCTCTGAATCAATATTTTTACACCAAATTAACCGAAATATTTAAATTTTCTCTTCTTTTTTTTGTTGTTTTGAATCCTGAAACTCTTTGATAAAACTCAGGGTCGTATTCTAGAACTCTACTCAATGCTCAAGTTAGGACTTGAGTATGATGCAAAGCACTAGAAATCATACTAATTGAGTATACCATTAGAGTCGTATTTCCAGTGCTTGAAATCATACTCAAGTCTGCTCAAATCCTGACTTGAGCATTAAGTAGAGTTCTGGAATACGACCCTCAATAATTTGTGTGCTTGCTGGTTGATTTTTCTCATTTTTCTGAAATAAGAAAAGTTTTTTTTACGTTAACTTTATGAGCCATAGACAATTTGACGTAAATCAGCTGTCCGATCAGTCGTTGTAGGTGGCAGCACCGCATCACGTGAATTTTCATGGCGCTGAAGGGCTAGTCCCGATTGTCTTGTGATTTCACCAAATTATTGCTGTTTCGGGCTATTTATTGTTGAACAGCACAAAATTATACGTTCTGGGTGAGTAAAGTGATGTGTTCGAATAAGTGATGTGGCCTGTTCTTGTGTAAAAGGCATTTGCGCGCGACTTATAAGTGTCAAAAGTTGATGTGACGGGTTCCAAAGAGGGTGGTTTTAGGGTGTTTTTCCCGAGGTACATCGATGCGGGCGTCAGGGTGTCTGAGCGCCGAGCGGGCGCCAATGTTCTACTCCCGATATTGATTCAGTACTCCTGCCAAATGCGTCACGTACCACGGTGACTACACCATTTAGTTAGTAACTCGTATGGGGTAAAGACACCGTTTGTTGGTTAAGTTATCGATTTCCAAAGTAAAGCAGTTCACTTTTGTGCTTACAGAGATATGATAGACCGTGTAAGGGCTTTTTTTTTATTCTGTGTCCTCATCGTCCCTGGATTTCCATTGATATGTTGAGTTACCCAAGGTCAAATACATGGTATTCATGGTTTTTCAGTGAAAAATGACGGAATACTGGCTAATCAGCGCCCCTGGTGAGAAAACATGCCAGCAGACATGGGACACTCTCAATAATGCCACCAAAAATGGCCTTAGTGCCAACTACAAATTCCCTATCCCCGACTTGAAGGTATGTATCTGAAAGTTTATCAAATTAAAAACTTTGTTTATTTTTTTTTTATTCAAATATTTTTTTACAACAACATTTTTAACAACAACATGAAACATTCAGCCAATTCGTATGTTATTGATTTTTCAATTATAGTTCTTTGTTACTGCTAAGAAATTGAATACCTTTGTGCAGGTATTAAGTGAAGAAACCTTATGGGTATCATATTTCAAGACGTATGACTAGAATTTTATATTACATTGGCTTTTATAATTATGTCATTCACCTCTTCTATAGGCGAGTGCGTAGAAACTTAAATGAATCATATTTAATTGAGCAAATCAGACAGAATCGTTCCAAACATATTTTTTTTTAATGCTTCCAGTCTTATAATTTTGATGGAAAATCTAAAGATATATTATCATTTTCTCCATAAGCTGGGTTTCAAACTATGAAAATGCAGTACTGAAAATCTAAAAACAATTATGTTTTTTATACATAATGTAATACATACTGTATTTATACATAGTATACATAATGTATTGTTACTAAGCAGTCTCAAATGTTTGTTCATTGTCAAAATTATCTTTCATCTTGTTATGAATTTAGGTCAGTATTCTTATATTCAATAAAACAGTCTTAATATTAATTTCTTGAATATTAATAAAAATATTTTCATTGTTTTGACAACCTCAGTGGCAGTTACCACTATGGGTGCTAGATCAGGGTTTGAATCCTGGTAGGACTAATTTCTGAAAAACACACAGCCTTTCTAAATTCGTGGTGTCCTCGTCTTGATGTAGTCTTGTCTTTTTTGTGCTTTTAATTGTTACCTATTGTTAGCTTTCTTTTAATTTCATTTGTTAAGATGACACTAAGTGGGCTTATTTGTTTAATAAAAAATAGAAATAGTGTTGTCTTAAAAGATCAACTTCACTGACTCATATCTTTTTAATAAAATTTGTATGTATTAAATTTAAATAATCAAGAATTTGGTTACATAAAATGTAGAGACTAAAATGTAACTTAATTGATACAAAGATTTAAAAAACAACTCAAACAAAAATTCCTCCAAATTGACTGGATTCAAATCAGTGTCTGTTGCCATGCCAAGACCACCACTTTAATAAACTGGGCTACAGACCGTGTCATCAGAAATAATAATAACAAACTAGTGGAGTATTTTCACAATAATATATATAAATATCATAGTAGTAAAATAACATGATAATTCAATAAATAAATATTAAATGAAATAATAATTAGCAAATTAACAATAAAAAATCTTTAACATTTTCCTTTTTATTGATTCTGTTTTAGTGAGTTTATTGAAAACTGGACCAAATACATGACTAGACAATAAACAAGGCTGCATTATTTTTCAAAGTGACATTAGCAGCTGTCTGTTATCTACATTTAATTAAAAATCCAAGTATACAGAAGTATTCTAGTGCCATTTAGTTACAAAAATAGATTAATTTTCTAGTTAAACTGTCAAGTACATACATACTACAGAAATATGCTTTCACATTCGCAATAACTAGTTTACTTAATAGTAAATAATTATTTTATACTTTACAAATTAATTCCACAAATATTGCATAACATAACATTTAAGATAATAGTTGTTATTTAGATGTATCTTAGCATTATGTACAGCACTACATTTTATTTTATTTTTTATTTTTATTGGATAAGGTACTGCAACAGATTACAGATCATAATTTACAACAGACAAAAACTATTCTACATGAATGGTTATAAACCTGCAACCCAATTATAGCTATACACAACACTTTAGTATATATAATAAACAGTAGCACCTAGGAATTAACTAAATATGTATATATAACAAATAAACAGCACCATTAAGAGATATTACAAAAAAGAATGAAAAAGTTACATAACAAAATTAAGGTGGTAGATTGGAATGTAGAGACTTTCTAAAAACTATGTAACTACTACTATAAAGATCATTATTAGCACAGATGTCATTATAATATCTACACATTCTGTACATCGGATTATTACTCGAGACATTTTAGATATCTTTACAAATGATATTGTCAATATTGACAATAAAATTGTGACTATAATGAGCTATTTAGTAACATAAGTTTACATGTATTGGGTGATTCTGGATCAATGATGTATATTACTTTTTCTGACTGTATCGTAAGTTAAGTCCAATACATATATACATAAGATATGGGAAATAACTTAATTTAAATAAAATAATATTTAGTTATGAATGCCAAATGTCTTAAACAGGTCTGCATCATCAAAATTCATAATTTAATATGTTGGCCTGTACTCTCTACCAAAGTATCCGCTCAATACTCATAGAATAGTAGAATGTACAGAAACCTGTAAAATAATTATTGGCTATATAGTAAGAATTGACTTTTGTTCAAATTCAAATTCATTGGTTAATAAAGAGATAAATCTTTAATAAATCATTTGCTATATTTAGGTGGGGACACTGGATCAGTTGGTGGGCCTGTCCGATGATCTTGGCAAGCTGGATACCTTCGTCGAAGGCGTCACCAGGAAGGTTGCGCAATACCTCGGAGAGGTCAGTACACATACCTCATATTCATAAGCTCAATCATTTGTTCAGTTCTTTCAAAGCATTACAATTTGGTACAATATCCACCTTTGATAGAGGCAATTGCAGTGAAGGTATAATCTAAAAGAAAACATAGAAAAATACTTCTGTTGATCACGTAACTTCCACAGGAAAACGGGATGTAATATTATTATAACCAGCTTGCATGTGTTATGATGAGTGACACACGGTACAATTTTAAGGGAAGGCTTAAGACGCTACCTTCTCAATACTTTATATTGTGTTGGATCAGTAATGGTTTCTCAAATTGCTAGCAAAGTTATTTATCTTGTAGAGGACACGATCCTCCAAGCCAATATGGGAATAGATATTTAGGCTTCAAGCAAGGAATATAATATCAAGTGGTAATTCTTCACCACTCTATGTCACCTTTTATACAATATACAAATGCCTATCTTTAAAAAAACGAAAATTAAAAAAATGTCATTTGTTTTTTTGGTAAATCCGTTTAATTTCGACAGGTACTTGAAGACCAGCGCGATAAGCTTCACGAGAACCTGATGGCAAACAACAGTAAGTGCAAGTTTAATTTTTTTAGTTTTTTTTTTCCATATGGCACTAAATATTTATTTCGTTTATCACAACATTTTTTATTCAGCTTGAACCTTTTTCAAATGTTCCTAAAGTCTAAATACATGTTTGGTGCCATCCCTTGAGATTCTATAAATATTTTTGGACATTTAGAAAGAATAAAGTAATGAATATTTAGAATTAAAATTATGAATTACGTTTTTTAAACAATAAAAGTTAATTTAAAAAGACCATTTTGCATGAAGGTTACAAAGATTAGAGGTTAAAATATTCGAGCATGTTTGGGAAATGTTAGAGAAAAGAGAGCTGTTGGAAATTCGATAAATTGTTGCCAGCATGAAAAACTAATGATAGAAAGTGAGTTATAGTAGACGAATAAAAAAATTTAAAAGCACACAGTAGTGCGAAAAATTTATAGCATGTGTCGCTGAATTTCGGTGGTTTAAATTTACGTTTTATTTTTCTTCCTTCTTTATTTCTTTTTATTAATATTTATTTTTTTTATATTTGCATGTGAACTATTTTTTTTTAATCACACAAACAGTTTCGTTGATTTATAAATGAAACTTGCGAGTGCTGTTCTATATTTAATTTTGCCAATTTTCTTATATTATTTTGCAATTGTACAATTGCACAGTATCCAAGAATGTTTATATGTATATTTTATATTTTTTTCACATTACACATCGACACTTCATCCTTCTAAAAAGTTAATCACCTCACTTAAATTGTCACTAACATTTTATATACGTAAACATTTGTATAGAATTCTGTATTCTATCAATAAATCTTTTGAAAAATCTATATTATGAAATTGGCACACAAAGATTTGTTGATAAATAGTTTACATGTCTTAAAAAATGGCTAAGAATGTTGAGTGGACAGTGCTAAAAATGTTATTTTTATCAATTTACAAATTGGTTCGTTTACATGTGACTATTTCGAACCTTTATGTATTGCAACTCTGCTCTGTACATATTTACTATTAAGGAATGACTTGAATTTTGTGAATATCTTTGTTGCCTTTGTCTTCTACCAATTTTTTTTTTGTACTATTGTAAGTTTGTTAGGAACGACGTTGAAAATTTAAAAGAAAAGGGTAAGTAGTATAAAAGAAATTGGGGTAACAAACTTATTGATGAAAAAAGGTATGAAATCAAATTTATCTAGTCCAGAAAGTTTATGTGATTTGTTTATTATTTTAAATTATATTTATATTATGTTTTCACTATTAAAGGATAGGATATAATGTGCACATAGTGTATAAATAAATGCACGTAAGTCGACACGGTTTTACAATTTCATAGATCATAATTTGGAATATATAATATTTTTATAATTTTTATTTGCTTCTTTTCTTATATTAAAAGGACACGGCTGACACAGTAGTATTTTTAGATATAATTGTATATAGAATGAGAATGTTAGACTTTCGGATTGCATTTCAGTGTCTGAAAAATGGAAAAAAGTTTGCGGCAGTGAGTAAAATTTGTAGTGTACGTAAAAGCTTCAAGTTTATATGTTGGGCTTATATGTTGAGGCTTTCTAAATACGCCATAATATGTTTATCGTGCTGAATTTTATTATAAATATTATTAAGTAAATACAGTATGCTGCGAAATGTACTAAGTTTATTTTACGACGGCTCTAAACTTTTAAAGCAGTATATATAATTGATAATTTCGTAAATATATTATTTTTATTTTGCATTGACTTCCGGCTTGCTATTTACAAATATCTTTGGATATAAATATCGGAAACATCATCTATGACATCGTGAAGGGCGTACCTGGAATTATAAAAAAAAAATGTTTTGGAAAACATAGCCGAGAACCTAAAATATTCTTTAATGTTTATGGTATTCATCATGGCGGCCAACCCGTCATCTATTTGATGGAAAGTGGAAACAGTCGCTTGAACATTTACGATACTAAGAAAGTATACTTAACTTATACTTACTTTCTCGCAGATGGCGTCGTTAAAAACTAAAAACAAATTTCTGCAAAAAGCACATAGAAAAATTCGTAAGGTCCGCTGTTCCTTCCGTGGCTTAGTTGGCATAACGTCTGGCACGGTCTGTTGGAAGACGTTGGTTCGAATCTAACCGGATCGAAGGATTTTTTCTAAGCGTTCGATTTTTGTATTAATAATTATAACAAACTAGTGGAGTAATTTCACAAAAATGATTGAATATCATGGTGGTCAAACATCGTGCCATTCAATAAACTTAAAGATTACAAAGTATACTTAATATTGCAAAGGTGTTGCCGGCCGTTGTGCTGTTTATATTTCGACAATTAAACACGCATTCATAATATTACGATTTTTATACCTGTAAATGTAATTTTAACATCAAAAACTATTTGGTATATTGTTTCACAAGGTTCTTACGCTACTTACTTTGTAGGAAAAATATTTGCTTTTATGAAACAATAAAAATTTGTCAAATAGTTTATCACATAAAATTTTTATATTATGTACAAAGTTGCACTTTCAACATTGTGTCTTTGAAACTTAGATTCCATGCATCAACGCTTTACCATGGAACGAACTTAGGAGTTCTGTATCCTGTATGATCTAACAAACAAACAAATGAATTGGAGAATCCTTTGAAAATGCGACTTTAATTAAATAGCATTTATTTGTGTTCACTTTCTAGGTTTCAATATGGTTTTCATGTTTCGTAATGAAGATCACATTATGTGTATTTGGATTACTATTAGATGAACTACGTTTGCACAGACATGTCATTACGATATTTTAACAATGTCCTCATGTCATTGACGATCGCAATCACTGCCTCACAAGACATTCATAGCTTAAGCCATATCGAGCTTCTACATATTGTCTATGCTTTGCACTTCTTAATTTTTTATTATAACTTATTATTTAAAGTCATTATTTTAACAAGTTTATTTTTATAAATATAATTTTTATTGTTTGCTCCTATCCCTAACACAAAATCCTTGTTATTTTTAGTTCACTCCCATTTTCAAAGCGTGAGGCGTTTACTACTAATAAAAACCGAAATTTATCGCAGTTTTTATAATCCATTTTGCTCGTAATACGTTTGAATTAGAATGCAGACAAGCGGTAGAATAGCTGCATAGGAGCCGTAAAGGCGGCGTTATAATTTGATTATACAGCTTGAATTGAAATAGATTTAACTAAAAATCGATAGGTGAAGCTCCAATAACAACAGTTGTAGACTTGCGGTATGGTTTTCAAGTGGCGAGCACTAGTTGGAAGACGCAGTGTAGGACGGCCTTCCGTCTAGGTGGACCAATGACCTGACGTCGTTCGTGGTTGGATTCAAACGACCCTGAATCGTATGCGGTGACATTCTATTGGTTAGGCATATGCTATATGGACGTCTTCAGACTGATGGTATTATTGAAGCTCCAATGAGGACTGTGGCGAATCTAGGCATCGACTCTTACGCGGATCCGGGCGGGGGCGAGCCGCCGCCGACGCCAACGTCGCCGGTGTGCGACTCCGCCTTCTCAGAGCATGGCGGCTGCTGGCCATGCGAGCACCGCGACCATTCACACTCGCACTCGCATTCCGAGTGCGAAGCCTTCCAGCCCTCGCAGCCTTCCAGCGGCCGCAGCTCGCCACACTGGGATGACGACGAAGATGACCGGCCTCATCACATACTATCGCAAGGTTTAGGATTGTAACCCTCTCTGACCCGAGCGCCTGATCTTAGAACGTCATTTGAGCACACGTTCGAACATTAAGGGTAAGGCCAGACGAATGTAATTTTGTGACTTGTGAGTTGAGTTGCGTAATTGACGTTGCATTCGGTTTCATATAAAAATCCGGTATGTGCTACGCAACGACACAAAATTGACAACTGAATTTTGGTCGCACCGTGTACAGTGCTGGTGTGGGTGGAGGAAGAATTGAGGGAAGAGGTCACTTTGGTATTGGTAGCGCGTGAGTAGAAACGTTTCTTGCTCCATTACACTATATGGCACAAACACCCCGTACAAATGCATAGAAGCAATTGAATGAAATAAGTTCATCTGGCGCTACACCCGAATTTCAGTCTAACGTAAACTACGCGACTCAAAAAACGCGACTCACAACTCACAGAATTACGCTCATCTGGCCTCACCATTAATATTTCTACCGACATAAAGTCTACAATACTTAAAAGTAATGGTCGAGTTAAATTGCCAAGAAGACACCTACTACACCTTTCATAGCCGTATAATATTGCTAACGTCAAATTACTCAGTAATAATAAAAAAGTGAATAAATGAAAATAAATTATTTGATGCGCTCAAACGGCGTTCAGACAACTCAAACTCTGGTAGGCCTTGTAATTTGACGTAGGTTGGACAACGTATTTTTTACGTACAGCGCTGCCTGCCGCGTACTTTTTGAACCTTTTATTACGAGACGTGTGATAGGATTTTGTGAAGGCAGTGATTGCGTATTCAAAGATTTCATTACACTCATACGAGCACTTGGCGTAGTTGTTACTTACTTTGACAGACAGATGGCGCTGGCCGTATAAAATTTGCTGTGTCGGGAGCGCCATCCTGAATTTTTGTGTTTCCTTTTTAGATATTCACTGTATTTTTACACTTGCAGTATTTATTATTTCATAATAAAACATTTGTTATGATTCTTAAAGTTTATGGTGACGCTGTATCCTTCACTGGAGCTAGTTCCCCACAAGTGTACGTTTAAACACCATGTTATGTCAATGTCGCTTTGACAGTCGAGCTAAGAATAATTTTGTAATCTGTAGTTAACATCAAAAGGGGCGTTTCGTGAAATATTGCATTTTTATTTGCCTTTGTTGTTAAAATAAAAAAAAAAGGTAAATAAGAGTGATAAAACAACGTGTATGTGATTTATAAGTTATATAAAAAAAATTAAAACAATGTAATCGTGAAGTAATATTCATGAATTGAAACCCTTGTAGAAGCTTATTTTACACAAGTGTGTTCTTTTAAGCTACCATTTTT